ATGTTGAAAAAATATTCAAAGGACCAAATAGGGCAGACATTGCCTTGCTGAAACTAAGCAGGTATCCCTTTGTGTTATAATTTTAATAGTCATTTTATTGACCAGTTCTTATGTTGTGATGTGATAGCTATTGAAATGGTTGTGTGAAGTGCCTCCCACAGTGGTTGGGGAGGGTCAAATCACAGTATGGAGAAAGGAGAAATTTAGCTCACACTTTCATGCAAACCTTTTCCATGTATACTCCCCAAAACAAATATATGAACCAAAGCACAGCTCTCCTATAGAATTTGCACTTGCATGTTCAGACTCCACACCCTCACTGCTCCTCAACTGGACAGGAGGAACTGACACAACACAGCTTACTGGTAATTGGGTGATTGACCACAGATGTAAGAGGTCTGGCATAGGCATTTGGCATATGAAAAGATTTTGGTTTTTTAAAAAAATGTATTTATTGAAAGAAATATACACTAAAAAAATTGTGCACATTTTCACGAGCACTTCTTATTTTTTAAAATCACAAACTGATGCAAAAATGTGAACTTAAGAGTGGAAAAATGAGAAACTGAGACAAACCAAGTTTACAGATTTGCCCATCCCTAGATCACCAGAACATGCCTCTCGCTTTTTTTAAAAAAAGTATTATGTTAACTTGATTGAAATCACTAACAGTGAATGCTTGTTTTAATCAAATTGCTTTGCATGGAATGATATCCACCTAGTTCTGTGTTTTAAGCAACCACCTGTTGAAGCAATAATGATCTGTCTGCAGTATATCCTTGTGTTATGTACACATTTAGAACTAATGGCCCTAATTGCAGATTTTCTTTTAGCAGCGACATGCTGCAATGAATGTGAATTGACACCTGTTCTAGCATATCTGGGGCTTCAGCTGCATGAAGAAATAATGTGTGTTCAAAGTGTTCTAATATAACAAGGGTAAAATCAGTCTTGATATTTAAACAACAGCTATCACGGTGTGATGTTTGCTTTGCAACTTGCCCTATTCAAATAAATGCCTTCAAGTTAAATGCTGGACTCATGCCACGTTCCTATGCTTTAGGTGGATAGACTGCATAAAAAGCAATAGATGTGCCTTTCCAAAATTGAAAGGGAGGTTCCAAACAAGATCAGTTGTTCTAAAAACATCACATCTGTCTTCACCATCAGAGCTTAACCCTTTTTGCTCGGGAGCAGTACTTCCTTCCAAGTAAACATGTGTAGGACCAGGATACAAGTAAGGCTTACAGGGAAAGCATTTGAATTGAATATTTCTTTGTTAGTTCCAACTTCCATCACTTTTGCTTGCCTGAGACTGGGAAAAGTCGAGCATTGATAAGGAGACACATTTGGGAACATTACACTTCTAGAAATGCATTCCTTTTAAAAAAAGAAGTTGCCTGAAGGTTCACAACCCAGCTGGTAGCAATCAGGGTAAGTGGAATGATGAAAAAGAACAATGTCAAACCTCTTGGAAATGTTTGTTTCAGCCCTGCCGTGATCAACGATAAGGTCATTCCGGCATGTTTGCCTCCAGCCAATTCAATGGTAGCAGGTGGAGCAGAATGTTATGTTACTGGATGGGGTGATACAAAAGGTGAGTAAATTTTGAGCAGCTAAGTATCCAAAGTAGCTAAGGTTGTGTTGTCTTCCCTCCGTATTCCATTATATTATTCTAATCTCCATCCTTTTGATTTTTGACTTTCTTACACATGGATAGGGTTGCCATATTTCGAAAAGTGAAAAGTTGTTGAGCTTTTTTGCAAAATAAATAAAAAAAAATATTTGAGCTACTTTTTATGAAATTCACCATTTGTCCAGATTTTCCTGGACATTTCAGTGATTTCTGCCCAGGCACTTTTTACACGGACGAAATACTGGCTATGTCCAGTGTTGAAAGCCTGCCAGCTTGGCAATTCTCCTAGCACTACTGGGACATAAAAAGAGAAAATTAAAGGCTGCCACCCATCATTACAGCCTGTCACCAACCCTGTCAGTGTTTATATCACAATTTAATGTCTGTTTATTTTCTTCCTTTCTCCCTTACTCACAAAGGAACTGGTGGAGAAAGCATTCTTAAAGAAACTGGCTTCCCTGTAATTGAAAATAAAGTGTGCAATCGGCCTGAATTTTTGAACAACAGGGTCAGAACCACTGAACTCTGTGCTGGGAATATTGATGGTGGCACTGACAGTTGCCAGGTAAGAGAGTCTAGTGATGGAAATACTTGGCAATAATAATAATATAATAATAACAATTTTTTATTTATTTCCCACCCATCTGGCTGGGTTTCCCCAGCCACTCTGGGTGGCTCCCAAAAGAATATTAAAAATGCGATAAAACATCGAACATTAAAAACTTCCCTAAACAGGGCTACCTTCAGATGTCTTCTAAAAGTCAGATAGTTGTTTATTTCCTTGACATCTGATGGGCGGGTGCCACCACCGAGAAGGCCCCCTGCCTGGTTCCCTGTAACTTCTCTTCTCACAGTGAGGGAACCGCTAGAAGGCCCTTGGAGCTGGATCTCAGTGTCCGGGCTGAATGATGGGGGTGGAGATGCTCCTTCAGGTATACAATACACCAGAAACAATGGACATTCGGGTATTGCTTTGTGTAAGCCTTGGCTGCTCAACATTCCAAACCCTCATTATGGCCCCATCCACATAATACATTTAAAGTTGTATTATGCCACTTTAAAGTGTCATGGGTTCCCCCAATGAATCCTGGGAACTGTAGTTTATGTCTTTGTGGGAAGGAGTCGGAGGTTATTGGTTTTAGGGTTTTTTTGTTCTTGTTTTATCTTGTTTGTGTTGTGTACTGCCCTGAGATCTACAAACAAAGGTTGGTATACTCCTACTACTACTACTACTAATAATAATAATAATGGTGCCAAGAGTTGCTAGGAGACCCTGGTTCCCCTTACAGATCTGCAATTCCCAGTGATCCCTGGGAAGAGAGGATTGATGGTTACACTCTTGGAATTGTAGCTCTAGGGCTCTCCTGACATTAGCTGTTATGGGGAACAACCCTGCCTCCCCCCCCCCTTATTTAGTGATACTGTGCTGTTAGGTCTTTGAACTGCAATAAAGAATTGACCTAGTGACCTAGTGATATTGTAGTTTTGTATGCTAACCTTCCTTCCTAGGGCACTACATTCACTGGCTATGCTGTGGGTCTGTAATGGTTGTCATATTTGGAGATTAGCCCCGTTTGCAGGTTTTGTCTTCCCCATAGCAATAGTCACAACTTTGGTGGATAAGGCATTGGGGTGGTATCCTTTAGTCTAACATCTGGCAGGAGGTGAAATGGTGGTTCACCCCCCACCTCAGAAAAGGTGTGTTCACAGGGTATCTCGTGAGAGGGGTCTGGTTGGAAGTCTCTGTCCCAAAGCCAAGGCTGATGGGCCACAGAGCTTCCTTCAGTGGCTTGGGGGGGGGCGCATCCATGTAGACCTTCATCTTGCAATGGACCCATTAATCCCATGAGCAACTCTGTCATGCCTCAGTCCCCCACCAGGAGGCTGAGAGGGATTTACAACCCAATTCCTAAGCCAAATCCTACCTCCATCTGGAATCAATAAAGTTATGGCCAATTTTAAAATCCCAGAACGTTGCCTTGTCCAGTTTGTTCACCTTTCTTAGGTTAGGCCTTGCTCCCTGAGGAGGGGTTGTTGCGAGTGGGTCTGCATATATGAATGACCTTGTGTGGGCACAGTCTGAGGCAAAACATATCAGTGAGATCTGTTCATTACATGTTTATGTTTATTTCTGCTCTGTTTGTTCATTTCCCTTTTTCATTTGTAGGGTGATAGTGGAGGGCCTCTGGTCTGTGCAGAACAAGGAAGATATATCCTTCATGGAGTCACCTCCTGGGGTCTTGGCTGTGCGCAGCCCATGAAGCCTGGTGTTTATGTTCGAGTTTCCCAGTTTATTTCATGGATTGAAAAAACAATGCGTGAAAACTGAATTATTTCACTCTTGTTGAAAGAAGCACATACATATACAGATGTATCACACACACAGAGGATTCAGGGTGCAATGTTGTAAAATAAATTACATGATTGTAAAAATGACCGATTGGCTGGCTGACTTTCATTACAACACAGTTTATATGCTGCAAAAATTCATTTGCAATGTGCTTAAGCTTGAACAATAAGCCAAACTGGATGTGATTTGAGTGATCCATGAATAGAATTGCCAACATTTTTAAAGGGCTAACGTCATCCATAGGGGAAAACATTCTAGTATCACACAAGGTGCCTGCATTGATTTATTTGTGGGGCAAATAGTTTTGAGGGCTTTAAAAATGCAGGTTCTCCCATGTCACCATAACTACAGCCCCATTTGCTACCATTTGATTGAAAGCTATGACAAATAAAAATGAAATGAATTGTTCTTAAATTTGTTTTGCTCATGTTTTCTGAACTGGAAACAAATCTAACGGTTCTTTACCTTCAGTTATTAGATTAATTATCAATAGATTATTTCACATGACTACATAGTGAGGATTATAAACTCTTTATAATGTGTAGTTACCTCTCATAATTGAGGTAATGGGAGGGCCCAATCCATACTACACATATTGCATCCTTTGCAGTGCAAAACAAGTGATTTTAGTATATTTCTTTTGTTTTTATTGTTCCATTTTTATTCCACTTTCCCCCCTTTTTAAAACCTTTATTAAACTTTTTTGAAAATAAACTTAATCAAACCAAATAGATGCAAAGGGTAAGTTATTAACATAACAGGCTTAAGGCATCTCAACAAATATACATACTTTTTATTGTATCTTTGAAATAAGAATTCTCATTCTTATCCCCTGTTCTCATTCAGTTCCACTGGAGTATTTAAATGGCTATATTTTTCTTGTTATTTATCACAATGTTGTGGATTCCTTCAGTGCATTTCCTGTTTCTCCAACAGAAGTGTGAAACAATTACTCTTAGGAGTTAGGGAAGATAAAGGATGGCCAGATGGTCCAGACATAAGCAAAGAGTCAAGTTTCAAATAAAACAACTTATTTAATGGAAATTATTTCTCTTCTACAAAATCCACATATAACAGTTCCCCACCTGGAAACAATAGGCTCAGAAAACACATTCATACTCCCAAAGTCATAGAAAAATATTGTATTTACTTTAAGTGTCTTTTAGGGATTTTTATTATGGAAAAACAGGATCCATTTTCTCTATCTGGCATGATAATGGCATCCACTGGACATCAGACTGAAAGCCAGGTGATTGGCGGTGCCCTCAGAACATTTGGCAAATGATCAAACATATGTGCTGGAAATCTGATGTTTCTGTTTCCCACACCTTCTGCTGAAACTGTGGTGATAAAAGGAAAGAGAAAAAAGAAGAAAAGTCATGCTTTACTGGTGGGACAAAGTTCTGATTTAAGCAGAAATGTATGCTTTTTAAAATCACGCTACTCTTTGATGAAAACAGCACTACAAGGGAAGTGGCTATGGGAGCTGAGTGGTCTACTGTAGAGGTTATAGTATCAGACTAGGAAGACGCAGATTCAAATCCATTCTCAGACTTGAGGCATACTGGTGCATTTACTGTTTCTAAGCATCACTTCTCTGTCAGCGTTCTCGTAAGGATAAAATAGAATAACAGATCGTTGCATATGCCACTCCAATCTCTGAGTGGTGCAATATTCCAGGGGGTTCCAGGGTTCGGTTTCCTTGGAATGAGGGACAGTGGAGACTGTGGTTTATTTACACATATATACAACCTGAGCCCACAATGGAGGGGCTCATGGCATCAACACCCCAGAAGGTCTCGCTTGTCCCATTGTTACAGCCTTGGATTCCAGTAAAAATACAGCATGGCTCTCACTCTCTGCTTCTGCCTGCTTCTAGCTTCCCTCCCTCTCTCACATCACTCTGGCTATTGTGCTTCTTACTACCAGTCAGGTGAGGCAGGGGGCCTACCTATATGCCCTCCAGCACAAAGCAACTTCCTTTCTTATACTAACAACTCATACTTAGGACCAGTGCTTTTTTCTAAAAAAAAAACTGTTTAGGGATACAGTGGTACCTCGGGTTAAGAACTTAATTTGTTCTGGAGGTCCGTTCTTAACCTGAAACTGTTCTTAACCTGAGGTACCACTTTAGCTAATGGGGCCTCCCGCTGCCACCGTGCCGCCGGAGCACGATTTCTGCTCTCATCCTGAAGCAAAGTTCTTAACCCGAGGTACTATTTCTGGGTTAGTGGAGTATGTAACCTGAAGCGTATGTAACCTGAAGCATATGTAACCCGAGGTACCACTGTACTCTCATTTCCCTACTTATATTGAAATACTGCCCCTCAATGAGGCCAAACTTAGATTCACAAAATGTTTAGGGGTATGCGTCCCCCCAGAAAAAAAGCACTGCTTAGGACCAGGTAACTCGCCAAGAAACCTGCCTTCTTTTTTAACAATGGAATCCTCAAACTCACACCACTATGCCTGGTGGGAAGGTTGGGTATAAACACAACAAATAAATTAGCACCAATAGCAGCTTCCCTGCTGGCGTGAAACAGCAGCTTGGAATAGGGATTTTCATTAGGACTGCAGCATGAGGTGCAGGGGTGAGGTTAACTGCTTCCACCCACCCATCTCAATCTGATTAGCTCCCCTCAATGCTTTATATTTGTTTTTTTAAAGCACACATATGCAAGTGCAAGGGCACATTTAATGAACAGTTTGGTGCTTGAGGCTAATGAAAGGTCTGGAGAAGGAACCATCTGAAATCCAAAGAAAGTGTATGAGATTATTTACGGGTAGATAGCAGTGCAGGCATTTGGCAGTTGTTCCACATCCTCGACCGTCTCCGGTAAGGGAAGGCCCTTTGTCTCCGGTAAAAATGTGACCAGAAGCCCGCATAGAATGGAAAGTATACCTGTCAAAATGTGAAGCAGGAAACATACAGTATGTCACATGGAGTGAGAAATAATAGTTAACACTACAGTTTTAGATAGTTCAGAGGCAGGGAACAAGAAAATGTGGGGGAAGCCCTAAATGCTGGGCAGGGGGGAGTGAGTGGTTTATGTGTATATATGCATGTTTATGGGTGGATGTTTATGAATGGATGCAGGGGCACCAGCTCTTGGGGGCCAAACCCTTTTGGGGGCCCTGATATTTTTTAGGGGTGCTCCCCATGTTCAAAAAAATCACGGCCATTGCAGAGCCAAGTGTGGTGCAGTTTCAGTGGCTCCTTCTCCTGCTGCTCCTGCCATGGAGGGGGAGAAGGAGGAAACAGCCCCCAGCCAATGGCAGCAATGGCAGGAGGAGGAGGAGCCACTGAAGCTGTGCTGCCGCCACATTCAGCTCTGCCCCTTGGCTCCTCCAACATCCTGACTTGATGTTGGGACATCACACACATAACTTTCTCCCTTCCCCCAATCTCCCTCACAAGTTAGCACCTCTGAATGGATGTGTGTCATGAGGAACACATCCCTCAGGCTGGTTATTCTAAGAGCTACTATTTAACTTTAATAATTGGTGCCTGAGTTTGCCTTTTTCCTCTTCCCTACCTCTCCCCTTTCACTTTTGTGCCATGTCTTTTAGACTGAAAGCCTGCAAGCAGGGACTATCTTGTTTTTATTGTTATGTAAGCGGTTTTAATTGATTGTGTGGGAGACTTTTTGGCTAAAGAGCAGAGCACAAGTTCTCTACATAAATAAAAGTAGTATGTAAATAAACTTAATGATGATATTGTTAAGGATTTCTATTCCCTACAATACAGTGTTGGTACCTATCCAGCACAATTACACATAAGGAACTGGGCACTGCTGTACTTGCCCCCCTGACAGCTCTCCAAAGGGCAGGACTGTTAGATGCTTTCAGAAGTGTAGAGTCAGTGTGGATGGTATCAGAAGGGTGATCTGAAAATTCACTGGGAGAAAGTGGTTGTGGGAAGTGGCTCTCACTTTGCTTTGGGGTGGGGGGATAATTGTATGGCAAAATGGAGCTACAAAACAGTAGTGAGTGTGGAATCCCAATCCCAATATTACTTCCTGAAAGAATCAGAAAAAGAAGAAGAACCATCTTTGAAAAGAGGTCACTTTTAAAACAATATCTTACAATAAACAATCAGAGGCAGCTCTGACCAGTAGGCTGCTAGACGGTAGAGAAGAAATGGGGCTAAAATGCCCCCTATGTCACACAGTCCTGAGCACAATGAAACACCAAAGTTTCTATAGGGGAAAGAAAAGAGAATATATTACTCAGGATTTATGCACTAGCTTCCAAGATGCTATACTATACCTACTTTCCCCATGATACCTCCATTCCACTCTGGTTTGCTTTCTTTAACTGAACTCCAAATTTGGCCTTTAAGTCAGGGTATAAGAGCCTATCAACAGGAACTTGCAAAGGTGATGATAGCAAGAATGCACTTTGTTCTAGACCACACTTCCCCAACCTGCTGCACCCCAGATATTTTGGATCCCAACTTCCTTCACCCCCAGCCAGCATGGCCAACAGCCAAGGCTGATGAGAGTTGTGGTTAAACCACATTCTTATACTGCTTTTGGAAATGTTTCTTTAGGAGTGTCCTAGACCTAGACAATATCGGGGTTCCTTTGGCTCTTTTTATATGGGAATGCTAAGGAGACCTCATTCAAACCACTGGAGTGCAGGGCTGTGAACTGAAGATTTTTAAATTTTAGACTCTGAGCACACTGTGGCATGTGACTGTCTTGTAAATGGTTTTCTCTATCATTTCGCCAGTGCTTTTTTTTAAATAGAACTCCCACTTTTATTTGATTGACAACTCTAAGTCCCAATGAACTCAGTGGGGCTTACTTCTGAGTAGGCATGCATAGGTTAGCAATGCACATGTATGAGCCACTTCACTGCTTGATGTAATCTGTTAGGTTAACCACCATTTCTGCTCCACTGCTACTTCCTCCCCCAACCCAAGCCCACAACTATGTGGATCCCCCCCCCCAAAGTGCTTATTCCATTTACCTGAATATTGTAGGGTACAATTCAGAATTCACAAGATAGACAAGCTCAAAAGTTATGGTGATCCCCAGTCTTGCCAAGATGGCGCATGATGTACTTAGCCATGGTATATCTGTGGAGGATACATGCAGATGAAACACGAAAAGGATTTATTTAACCATGGAAACCAAAAATCAAGATCCTATTCCTGATCCATTTCACAATGAATTTGTGTCCTTCTCATCTAACCCCTTCTCATCTAACCCCTGTTGCTTCAGCAAAGCTTCTTCACGGATAAATGAGCAAAAGAAGTGATGCTATATTCTACCCAAATGAGGTCAGAAGTGGAGAATCATTTGATTATGAATGGACAAAATGGAAGTTTAAAAGAGATATTATTTATTCACCATTGGTACCTGCCCCAATATTAAGGGAAGGTATTTAATTTTAATCAATAACAATAAATGAGCTAGAAATGCAACCTCCAGATTTGAAAATAATTAGCAGTGTTACTCACATTTCACATTTACCAGCAGGTGGCACTAAAATACTACTTTTCATTATGCAGCTGCCAGCTTAGCTTTGAAGCAGAGCAATGCCAGAGACTCCCCATTAGTTTTCTAGGGTTGCCATATTTCAAAAAGTGAAAATCTCGATAGAAAAGTTGTTGAACTTTCCTTTGGGGGTGGGGCAAAATTGTTGGCAAAATGGCAAAAAATGCTCTTTTTGAGCTATTTTTTATTTTTTAAAAATGGCAAAAATGGCACTGTTGAGATGGCTGACACATGTCTGGATTTCTCCAGACATTTAATCCAATTTTCGTCTGGGCACTGCTGTCAACTGCTGTATTCCGTGCATGTCCAGGAAATCCTGGGCATGTGGCAACCCTAGTTTTGCTCATTAGGAAAGAAAATGAAAAGCAACAGCAGCATAATACCTTTCATTAAGACTCAATATAAGGTCACAGAGCAGTGTGTGCAAGCTTTTCTGGAGTATGCCATCATTCCCAAGAAGAAATGCAAGATCATATTTCAGCAAGCTTCCGTTCCAAGATATGGTTGGGGGTGTGTGTTTCACATATTTTTAAATGTGTGTATGCGCACGCACACGTGTGGTCTGCCTTGAAAGACAAGGGTGAGTTAGCAACCAAAACAAGCAAATAAAAACGAAAAGGTTACCTTTGGGCAAGAATGCGGTCATTAAGCACGCAGCACCTGCCACGAAGGCACTTGTTGCAAAGAGAGGGCGCCTGCCAATGCGGTCAATTGTCAATAAGATTAGAAAAGCTGAAGGCAATTCCATCAGTGCTGAGACAAAGAACTCCAAATACAGATTTCCTTCTATGATTCCCAGGCGCAAGACAAGCCCTTGATAAACCACTGCACTTGTGAACCTTAAAAAGGAAGAAAAAAACAGCTGCAAAAGATTCAAAGCAGGCCGGCTTGCATGGCAAAGGCCAAAGGGCAAAGCCACAGAGACAACACAGCCGGGACTCACCAGGCATACATCAGGATTAGAGTGAACTTTCTCATCTGCGGAGTTCTAACCAGTTCGAGGAGAGATGGGTTGCTAACCTCCTTGTCGGAGAGACTGATCTAAGTAAAAGAAACAGAGACCAAAACCCAAATAACTTCAGAGGAGTTTGTACATGTAGAAGTGGTATAGAAATGAAACATCCACATAAAAATATGAAAAGTACGGGTTGATGGCAAGTGGAGCAAGCCAAGATTTGCTGCCTGATGTTCCACATGCTCTGAACAATTCATAAAATAATTTAAACAGATAATATCATATAAAACCTTGGGGAGAAGGGGAGATACTTGGACTATATCTACCAAATATTTTGCTTACTTTCAGGGAGCAATATTTATTACCCTGTTTAAATACTGTTGTCAAATAAGACAAGGAGCCTTGGGCTTGAGTAACTTGGGGCTACAGCTCATCAATATGTACCCCCCCCAAAAAAAAGACAATATAAGGGTGTTAGGCATTCAGATCAAAATCCAATGTACAACCAAATGAGTTTTCATCAAAGTATTAATATTAAACATTAAGTGTTATTTTTGTCTGTCATATTTTTACACAAAATATGAAACTATTTGCATAATACTGCAAAAGCAGAAAAACAATCTAGCACAAATTATAAAAATTATTTATTTTTAAAGGTTGCCATTCTGGTTTTTCTAGTTCACGTGATAGGAAATATTGTAACTGTTTGATTTTGCTAGGCTTTTACTATTTGGGGAGTTCTTTACTATTTGGGAGTTCTTCTATTTGAGTTTATTTCTGTTTTTATTTTGTTGCTTTATGATGTGTGTTTGCGTATGTGTGTTTAATTGTACTTCTAAGATTTCATGTTTTTATTGTAAAATAGCCTAGTAATCTTTGTCATTTAAAGGTGGAACAGAAACAGAATAAACAGGAAAGAAGTATAGACAATATTTAGTTATGTGTGATGCTGCCTTAGACTGAGTTGGAGAACTCAGTTGTCCAAACTGTCCGGTACTGTCTTAATATGCACAGCAGCATATATGCACACACAGCAGGTGAAGCCATGGCACTCAATTTACCTCCTGACAGCTGAGCTGCTCCTGTTTTTGGGAAGAGAGACAGCGGAATGGAGGTGGAAGGGAGATCAGAAGGCTTCAAATACAGTGGTAAGAGTACCAGATTGGCTCCCTGATGCACTGGCACCATTCTGACCTCCCTGCCACTTCCCTCTTCCCCTCCGAATAGGCAGCAACTCTCAGAAAAGCACAAACAAAAATATTTTGTCAACCTTGATAAACGAAAAGAAAATACTTGTGCATTTTCACTTTTTAAACTCAAATCAGCACTGATTTTGCTCACTTCTAGCCTTGGGCCCCTCACCAACTCTCAGCCTAACCTACCTCACATGGCTGTTGTGAAGATATAAGATTTAAATAAAATGACCCCCCCCCAAAAAAAAGAGTGCTTCTGTCATAAACCTCAAACTTTGATTCCTTTAAGCAGAGTGGTGCATCTTTGGACTATAAAAGGCCAAGTTTTTCTCTCCCCCTCTAAGTATAGCTCCAAGGCTTCAACCAGTCCTCACCTCTCCCCCCACCTTTGTTGTTGTTGGGAAAGAAGCATACTCTGTTGTACAATGTAAAGAAATTATAATGGAAAACAACTCTACAACACCACACAGTTCAATGCCACACAGCTCGTCATCATAACAGCAGGTTTATCACCACCAGGGCATTAGCATGCCTACAAAAGATACAATACAGCAAATTTTCTCAAACTCAGAGCTTCACTTTGAAAAGCAGAGCTATGTAATTTTGGAACTAGGAACTCCACTGAGAGTACAGCCTGTTAAATGCACTTGACCCTCCCATTATCACACTTCCGGGAGCATCGTGCTCTACTTCTGGGCGTAGAATCAAGAATGACTGAACTTGTGTATCCAAAAGGATCTGGAACAGTTCCGAAGTACAGCTTAGAAGCCTTAGACTATTACCGAGGGCTAAGCAATTTCAGCTGTGACTAAATTAGGGTCACCCAGCTGTGGATACTACTTAAAAATATAGGCTAGGATGTTTGGGAACGAAGAGGAGAGAGTAATACTAGCCTGGACACCAAGGTCACCATTCTAAAAATACTGAGATGTTGAACAAACTGAAGAATCTGAACAGATGGACATCATGCAGTCCGCACATTCTCTTGCTCGTACTCTGATCACATGAAAATATGATCTTCACAATATGGTTGACAGACAACGCATTCGGAAGATGTGTGGCAAAAGCAACTCTTTCATGTATGGCTGTTTAAAAAAAGAAATTTACGAAAAACTGCAGTACCTCTTTGTGTTGATTTACATTGATATAGTATAGGATCCTCTGATTTTTTGGAAGGAAAGTACTGAATTCTGCATCTGCTACTTTTAACATTACTAAATATTTTGAGGGAAATGCTAGGTTTTGAGGGAAATGCTAGATTTCCAACTATCCACCTGGAGAAGAATACTGCTGCTCTGGAAGAAACCTGACGTCTGCCTGAGCAGGCAGGGGCCTGCAATTATTGACAGGCCTCCCACTGGTGGTAGCCAGCGTAGAGTTCCCAAAAGGGGTGTTTGGGGATATGTGTAGGTTTGGGCCAGTTACAGATCCCCTGAATCCTTCTTCTTCTCCTTCTTCTCCTCCTTCTTCTTCTTCTTTTGCCCATGAGGGGCCTGATTCCAACATCTCTGTTGTACCAGCTGGTGTAGTAAAACCATCCTGACCAACAGGAGTTTGGATGTGGTGGTGGCCTACTGTCCTGTTTGCATAGTTAGTATTTCTCTCAGTAACTAATTGAGCAACACCAATGTTTTCAAAGCACCTACAGCAACTAAGTGCAGTACATAAGACAAATGAAAGAAAGATAACATGCAAGCCCTGCCATCAGGTTTCCACTCCCAAGAGGCCAGTATCTTATATGCACGCAACAGAATGAGTCTGTGTAGACTTTCTTCTTTGCGTATTCGCTGTACAAATGGTGTGTGAACATTCGTGTGTGTGTTCGAGACATCTGACACCTGACCTGCCTCCAATATGACATATCCTGAGGGCCCAATTTGCCAATGTGCACATGTTCAGCACAACATCTGAAAAGTGAGCAGGAGTGAAACACACCCCAGAGCAAGCCCTTAATACCAAAAAAACAGGTACAAAATGGGGAAAATCATCTCCTCCACCCTCCAGCTAACAGTTAGATGGCCACAGGGCGAGAAACAGAAAACCCAACAGCACAAACTGAACATGCCTTGCTAGCACCATGATGATGCTAAAAGTGGTGCATTTGATGCTTAGCACGTATATGGTGAGTACCTCAGTATAATGTGATGGAAGACATTTCCCATTGTCTTTGGCGATGGACTGAATGATCTTTAGGGCTTTTTCTCCTTTTTTACGTGTCAGTAGCCACCGTGGAGATTCAGGTACTGCCCTGCAAAAGTAGAGACACTGGTAAGGATGTATCTGCAAGCTGTGTTCAGAAACCAAAGAGATTTATTGCCTGTAAGAAGGCAAGAAGCTAATCAACATGCCTGTGTGGTTCTCCTGCCTTCCAATTTTTTTCCTGGCAAGCTGGAAGCTCTTTAATCCTCCTGTGTGAATGTGTGTGTGTTTGTGTGAAGGCTGAAACAAGCATCCCATGGAGTCAGCAAGCAATTTGACACTGCACACAGTAGAAGCCCGGTATAAGTGACCCACATAATGCTGATGATTCTGTCCATTCTTTATATATAGTTGGACAAAGAAGCACATAAATTATGTGGATGACTTGTAATATGATCCCTGGAAACTAGTGAAATGCAAACTAGATTTCTAAAGGGAATGTTGCATAGTCAATTTCAGAAACTTTCAGAATCGATTGTAAATTCTGAACTGAACTGAAAAAACTTTGAGTTTACCTTGAAGAGATAGGTCAACTCTTTTTAAATAGCACTCCTATTTGTCCATATTTTACACAAACCATATCTGTGGCTTGTGGTTCTATATTCAGCCATAACTCTTTTCAAGGATGTTCAAATAGGTATACTGTTTATAGATGTGGGCTTATATTTAAAAAGGCACAATTTGGGGAGGAGGTTACTGAGGATAACTTTCTGTGTTCTTAAACAAAGTATTTTGTTTACATTGTGCTTTAGAGTATTCAAAGCTCTTCAAAGGCATATCACAGCAATCCTTATAATTCTGAATGAAGGTCAGTATTATGGCTCCCATACAGTAGATGTGGGCAATTTAATGAGCTGTGAGACAGACAGAGGACTTCTCATAATTACTAAAGCTCCCAGTTTATACTACAGGACCTCATACTGTGTACTATATAATTATTCTAAAGATACGAGAAAGAAAATAACATGAAATTACCAGTAATACAACAGGAAGAGGAAGTTGGGGAGTGTCGTAGCTAGCTGAATCTCTCGCCATGTGGGAATGAGATAAGCAATTCCAGGAAGAATCACAACTCCAAGGGTGAAAAAGATCTGAATTACAATTCCAACAATCCTTCGCTGATCTGAACCAACTATCTCAGTCACTGAATACAGAAATGGACAAAACAAAATACATTGAAAGGAAACAGCCTGCACATTATTAAAACCATTAATAGGGTGATGATAGCAAGTCACTGTTCTGTGGTACACGTGGAGATATTTTGCTTTGGTATTGCTGACTTCTTTACATTAGTTGGCAGAAGGAAATTAATGTCACAGATGTCTGATGTTATGAATCTATGGCCTGGTTCAGACATAACTATCTCAGTTAACAAACCATTGTTTATTTGGCTAAGAACAAGTGGTTAGCCTGGACATACATTCATCCCTCCCTCCTTCCCTTTCATTCCCCCTTCTTTAGCACAATGTATTGCCTTAAATCACACTTTCCCATTACATACAAACTTGGAAACTGGTTTAATCTTTAGCTACAAAAGTAGGACATCAAACCAGATGGTTCAACAATTGACAGAAATCCTGCCATTGTTTATGAAACCAAAATAATTGTATCTGAATTGAGCCCATAACTCATTCATTGGTGAGATAGTGCATGTTGGTATTCTTTGGTCTTATTACTATTGAATGAGCATCTATGTAGCTTCATATGTATAAAAATGTCCTATAAAGAACACATTTTTCTTCTCCTGAGTGATGCTGGCTTCTGCTTACCTTCACTGTAAAACAGATGGATGTACATACCAACAGTCTGAGTGATGATTCCATATTCTCCACCCCTTTAGTTTTGGGATTTAACTTTTAAAATACCACATGCACACTTCTCCCAATTAAATGTATAATTATGTGTCACCTCCCCACCTTGAAAACCAGAAACGGCTCATAGAGTGTGGTGGTAAATTAGTGATGAATTACTTTCCTTTGTGCTCAAAAATGTATGTCTAAAAAACCGAATCCTACCATGGTGACTGCATTTTTTAAAGTCAGCTCACCACTCAAATTAGGTACATCTCTGTGCATTCTTAAATTTATAAACCATGGACTTATTTAAAATCTGGGTCATATTAGATCGACTTGTGACCAAACTATACACAATTCAGAAGCCATTATTGTCTTCAATAAACTTATTGTTTTTGCAGTCCCTGAGGCAGATAACAAAAACAGGAGAGGTATTGAGCCTCTGGTCAGCTGCTGTACAGGGATCTTGTGTGGAATTTTGCCTGGTGGGTTATGAACTGGGGTCAAATGAGATGTGACCTGGGGTTAAATGTGTTGCTGCATTTCATATGCATGTTTGTTAACATTCAAGTAGCAGCTGCTGGGGATGGGATTGATAATTACCGCATTTTTCGCTCTATAAGACGCACCAGACCACAAGACGCACCTAGTTTTTGGAGGAGGAAAACAAGAAAAAAATATTCTGAATCTCGGAAGCCAGAACAGCAAGAAGGATCGCTGCGCAGTGAAAGCAGCAATCCCTCTTGCTGTTCTGGCTTCTGGGATAGCTGCGCAGCCTGCATTCGCTCCATAAGACGCACACACATTTCCCCTTACTTTTTAGGAGGGAAAAAGTGAGTCTTATAGAGCAAAAAATACGGTATTAGGACTGCAGCATGGCAGAGAGGGAAAGTTAAATCCTTTCTCCTCTTGCTGTGATATTGACAGAAATGGTTCCTTTGGAACTTTTATTAACATCAGAAGGAAATCTCCACCACCAGCACTATCAGAATAAAATGTCTTCAAATGAACCAATCCCTGCATAATCAACCCTCCCTTTCATGCAGTAATTTAGCAATATTCACAATGCAATCTATTGATTTTATGTGCAATGTGCCTTGTTGTTGTTGTTGTTTAGTCGTTTAGTCGTGTATGACTCTTTGTGACCCCATGGAACAGAGCACGCCAGGCACTCCTGTCTTCCACTGCCTCCCGTAGTTTGGTCAGACTCATGTTTGTAGCTTCGAGAACACTGTCCAACTATCTCGTCCTCCGTCGTCCCCTTCTCCTTGTGCCCTCCATCTTTCCCAACATCAGGGCCTTTTCCAGGGAGTCTTCTCTTCTCATGAGGTGGCCAAAGTATTGGAGCCTCAGCTTCACAATCTGTCCTTCCAGTGAGCACTCAGGGCTGATTTCCTTAAGAATGGATAGGTTTGATCTTCTTGCAGTCCATGGGACTCTCAAGAGTCTCCTCCAGCACCATATGTGCCTACAGTATAATAATCCCATTCAAGAAATCCCCTTTTTTCATCTAGTATCCCACATATTACATGCATATATGAAGAGGAAGAATGGAAAACACGCCAAGTCTTACCAATGACAAAGCTTGTCATCCAGGTTCCCTTTCCAAATACACCTTGTAGAAAGCGAAATATCGAAAATACTACAATATTTGGTGCAAAAGCCACTATGAGGCCACATAGTCCTGCCCCAAAGGAGGAAATGAGGTAAATGTTGATTCTGCCGTATCTGTCAAGAACAGAGAGTGTGAGAGTAAAACAGAGAGAATAGGGTTACCTGGTGCAAAAAGAGTTTTTAAGGTCTCGGCCTTTCTTCCTGGGCAATGCCTGGTTGGCAAACCAGCTCTGGGAATGGTAGGGATGCTCTCTCTCCCACCCCTACCCCTCACTAGTCACCTCACTGAAGACAGACTGAACATATTCCTAAACTTCCTAATCTTCACACGTAATGGCATACAAAAGTGCTGTACCGAAAACTCTCCTCCAATTTCTCTAAAGTTTCCTTCCTCTACAAAAGAGACTTCTGCTGTTCTGCCTCATTCAAGGAACACTTTATAATTTTGGTGGGTGTGGACAGGACTTTTTTTCCAGCCAGAACTCGGTTCCAACACCTCTCAGGTGGACGCCATTGCCATTCTAAGAGAACAAGGAAGGTGTTCATGGAGAGTTTTGGCACCTCTATTTCTGGAAAAATAGCACTGGGTGTGGAGTTGAGTTTACCTTATTGTGTCAGTGAGTGTTTTTTTCTTTCCATTAAACATTCTCCCATATTTCCTGATCTGAAAAATCACCATGGGAAGAAGCTGCTCATGATGTCTCGTTCTGCCTTTAACTGAAGCTTGGGAGGCTGGGGTAACTTGCTTCCAAGTGCCTAAGGCTGGTGTGCTTCTTCCCTTTTGCTTAAAAAACACCAGTAGCTCTCTGCAATTATGTCTTTAAAAATAAATATGCAATCTAATAAAACGAACAGTTGTCAGGGGCATAGTAGACAACCTCTCTCCAGCTTCCCTTGCTAACAGGAAAGGCCAACTGAAGACATCAAAGGTTTTTCAGGAAATGTGAGCACCTGGGAAGGCTGCAGAATGTAGAAGGAAAGAAGAGACACTCACAAAACCTCTTGGCCACATCAAAATAATTGCAACAACCCCTCCACATTTCATGCATGAAAATTTCACTGAAATTTTCTTTCAGCTTTGACAATTTTCAAATGCTTTCTCCCCACATGAGTTGATGAAGAATGGATAAAAAACATGGAAGACGTTTTGGGTACAGTACTAATGCAATGTAAACACTCACTCACATAAGTAAAGTAACGTGTGAAGCAGCTCTATCTGCAGTTGAAGAATGACATAGTTCATAGTTTGGTTAAAAAAGAAATTTTTACCTGTCTGAAGCGTAGCCTAGGTAAAATCCTCCTACCAAAAAACCGAGATTGAGGAGAGACTGTGTCATATCTATTAGCCATCTGTCCTCACAAACAAGGTTGTACTGTGGGAAGAAGAAAAAGAGACAACAAGTTTCTGTAGAAGATAAAGTTTTTATTTGACAAAAGATTCCAGTCTTGAAAACAATATCCGAGGGAGGCTGCAGGAGAAAGGGAATCACTGTAAAAATTGCCTCCATCCTTTCTCCCTTCACAGAAACCTTCACTGGAGCAAAAAGCCTTCTGTGACTAGAGATACACCTAGTCTTTTTTAAAAGGGAACTGAAACATTAGAATTGACAGTCTCTATATAAACTATGCCTGGTTTATATAGAACTAATGCTCAATTTAAGAAACTTATAAAACTATTTAGGATCATATTTTGATGGTGGCTGGGCCTGTGAAGTCCTACCCTCTACAGATGTCATAAAAGAATCTCATATGAAGTTGGGTCCAAAACATCTTTGCTGCCTGAGGCAAAAGACAAGATGGTGCCTCCCCCCCTCCGCCATTTCATGTACACAAGCCAATACTGGTAATGGGGCAGCATCCTCCACCATATTTGAGGTCAGCAGGCTAGCTTAGAAGGTGAACGGCATGCCTAGTAGCACAAAGAGCTCTGCCCTTCAACAACTTGCTGCTGCTCCCCACCTCAAGCACCTGCTGCATGAGGTTGCCATCTTCCTGTCTAATGGTAGGGTTGGCTACTGTTTTTCAGAAGATCATCCCTGGAAGGCCTCAATGAAAATATAAGAAATGGGGGCAAAATGGAGGGAGTGATAGGTAAAGTGAAGACAGAAGGTGATGAAATGTAACTAAAGAAGCAAATTGTTAGCACCCAAGTCTTGCCTGCTGTGACATTCTTGCCAGGAACAAGATACCGGGGGGGGGGGGTGCCACTTTGAATAGAAACCATCTGGCTTTGTCAGTCCTTCAGCTAACTTTGGTTGATACCGTATCATCTACATGATGAACATGTCTTAAACTCTGTTGTACTTCTAAGACATCACAGATAAACACTGTTTGTTCTTCCAGTGTTCAACAGCTATCTCCTGACTTAGTGCTGTGAGTGAAATGGTTCCGCCTTTTTGAGCACATCCAAGAAAAAGAAAAGTTTAAAAGAGCTGAGCAAATCTCCATCTCAGTGCTCTGATTTGTAATCCTGAAGATTTCATGAAGTAACTTTTTTGGAAGGATTTAACCCAAATCTACTTCCAAGATTCCAGTGGGATAGCCTGATTAATACCAGTTATCGTAAAGAACTAGAGACCTCAGTCTCTGAAAACTTGCATGAATACAATAAAACTAGCATTAGCAATAGACAGATTTTGGAGAATGCATAATTATTTAGGAGCATGATTTTTGCTTCGTCAACATGAGAAGAGCTTAAACTCTTCAACACACTGTTATATCCTTGACTGAGATCACTAATTAAAATAATAAAATGATGAATGTAATTAATTCCAACACTGATTATCTGAGCAATTCCAGCAAGAACTAACTCCCTTTTAGCACTCCATAGCAATTTATTTATTTTTAGTCTCACATTTAAACAGTCCCATCTTTTTAGTAGGACCAGTTCCCATGCTGGATTACTCAGTTTTTTATTTGGTATGTTAGGGTGTTTTTCCCCCCTTAAGGGTGGTATCTGATACATAGACCCATTGAAACCAATGCTTTTAATTAACCATATTTGAATGCTACATTTTAGCATGATAAGATCCATACATGAGGTAGATCTGCACATTGACCTTGTCATTGTACATTTTTTGCATAATTTTTGGTATATAGGTTATATAGCATGTATGAAGGAGGGTTAATTGTAGGTGATGTTACAATCAACAGACTTTTATCACACATGGGCCTATATATGTACCAGGAAGAGAATCTAATTCACAGTATGTTCATTAGAATGGGTAGAAATGGTTTCAGTTAGCATGGAACTAGGATTGTTTATGATGGGTTAATTTAATTTCTGAAGTTAAATGCTTATAGCCTAAACATGTGCAAAATAAATATTATCTAGTTCAGTGAGAAACCATAAAAATATCTAAATGGGGTACCAAGATTCCTTGCCAATTGTTTATAAGAAAACACTGACGCAATCAATATTTTGAGAGGGGGTGTTGCTTTCTTGTATTTGATTGACAATTGATTTATTGCAGTTAGCTGTCATTTCATTGTATTAATAAAAAGGTTTGAGGACCTCTGGGATGAAAAGCGGTATATACATGAATGGATAAATAAATCCTGCTGTCCTTAGAGCTAAGTAAGGTCTGTGTATTGATGGGGAATGTAGTACTTGGCCCTTAAAATAGCTTCAACAGCAACAGTAATGTTTCATATAGGACTTTATTATGTTGCTGACATCAGTATGTTCTAAACAACTGCATTTCTTCTTCTAGGAAACCAATTATCTTCCCACAAAGGGCATGTTAATCTGGCAAATGTTAACTTGGCAGAGCGAAAGTGTATGCAGGCAGCAGACCAGAATGTATCCTCCATGGAGGACCAAGTGTCAAGATTACAGCAAAAACAAAGCAGCTCCAGGCGTAATTTGACCTCAGAGCTTGGCAAGCACTTCCAGAAGTTTGACTCTGGCTTTAGGGGAGAAACACCCTGGGACCTGGATGAAGAACCCTTCATACTTCATTGGACTTCAGCCACTAGCCAGAATGGCCGATGGTCAGGGATGGTAGAAATTGTAGTCTAACATCTGCAGGGCCACAGGTTCCCATCACCGCTCTAGAAGCTCTCTGTGCCCTCTCCTGGAGGCCTGCTACTGCTCCTGGAGAACTGCCATCTACTGACCAGCCAGCCAGCTGTCTAGTGGGGTAGCTGGCTTATATAACTAGATAGCTAGCCATTAACCCAACAGCACCACCTCAGAATGCACATATAGTGCCGCAACGCTATAATTTTCTTGAATGCATTTTTTTTTAGTCAAGGGTGGAGGAGGCAAAACTTCATGCCTAGGCTTTGGACAAGGCTAGGCTTCAGGCATGAGATTCCTCACCTACAGGTGTAGAAGAACTGTCTCCTTGTGCTAGGAGATTGAGCCAAGCCTACTCCTAAGCTAGTCATTAAGGCTGTGCTTGCTTACTGAGGGCTAAGCCCCATCAGACACAGCAAGACTTATCTGAGTAAACATGCATGGGATTGTGCTACGTATTGCAATAGGGAAAAACACATGCAGAGACTGAAGAGTTATAAGAACGTTAACAGTCTGGATTGGTAGTTATATCCAGACAGCCAAAGAGCTTTCATTTCTCTAAAAAGTCGATGTGATTGCATCCCAATAGTCACCATCTACATTACTAGGAACACTGCTTGAAGGAAGAGGTGAAGTAGTGGAGCAGGATTTTCCACCCCCAAAAGTAAGCAGTAAGAAATACTTGCTGCAACAGCAAATGTTTCCTCCACATACATTATTTGCCTTTGGTTTGGCAAAAGGTAGGAGGGCCGGTGGTGCTGTGGGTTAAACCACAGAGCCTAGGGTTTGCCGATCAGAAGGTCGGCAGTTCGAATCCCCATGACGGGGTGAGCTCCTGTTGCTCGGTCCCAGCTCCTGCAAACCTAGCCGTTCGAAAGCACGTCAAAGTGCAAGTAGATAAATAGGTACCGCTCCAGCGGGAAGGTAAACGGTTTCCGTGCGCTGTTCTGGTTCTCCAGAAGCGGCTGTGTGCCGGCTCCCTTGGCCAGTAAGGCGAGATGAGCGCCGCAACCCCAGAGTCGGCCACGACTGGACCTAATGGTCAGGGGTCCCTTTACCTTAGGAGGGCCACTGGCCACAGGTACAACTGCTGTTGCATTCCCAGCCCTCGCATGCTTTGCAAACAAAAAGTCCCTGATTCTTGCTCCATCTGCACTATGTATTTGAACATGCTACTACAGTCATGGCTTCCCCAAAGAATCCAGAGAACTGAAGTCTGATAAAATTGCTGAGAGTACTTAGAATACCCCTGTTGCTCCTATAGAGCAACAGTTCCCCGAGAAGAGGGATTGATTGTTAAACTATTCTGGGAATTGTAGCTCTGTGAGGGGAAAGGGGTCTCCTAACAACTCTCTGTGCCCTTTAACAAATTACAGTTCCCAGGATTCTCTGGGGGAAGCCATGACTGTTTAAAGTGGCGTGATACTGCTTTAAATGTATAGTGCAGGTGGGGCCTCAGTCTCAGGTATCTCTTAGTTATAGTATAATAAACAAATATCCAGTTAGAACAGGGAAAGGTCCTTGTCTGCAACCCTGGAGAGCTGCTTCCAGTCAGCATGGAGCATTTGTCTTCAACTGGTGGGTTGGGATTAGGGATGAAAGAGAACTACAATTCGTTGAAAGCTGAATATACCCAATTTGCCCTTTCCAAAATACCGTAAGAACTGAAATGCACCATCCTTCAAAATGCACAACTATCCAAATTTTGCAATGCTGTTCTCCAATCGAAGCTTAATACAATGCATATGGTAGTGGAAATTGTGCATTAAAATAAATATATTGGTGGAAATAGCATGCAAAATGCATAACATTAAGAGAAATTGTTTGCAAAAATGTGCACATTTGTCAAAACTGTTTCCAATGCTGTGTTGATTAGGATAAATTTGCACTAAAATGCTGAAGAATTTTCATGAGGATTTTTAGAAATTCACAGAAATTTTGAGAACTGAAGACTGGAAAAATGAGAAACTATGGGCCCGTCCATACTTTCATTTGTTCCATGATTTCAAGTCAAGGGTCCAAGAGGGGTTTTTTTCTCATGCGACTTTCCCTGGGAAAACCCACTGTTTACTGCTGCAATCTGAACAAACATCAGTCCGCAGACTGACATAACACAACAGCAACATTACCACCCTGTGAATAACAAAAGCAAGACATGGGTCCCTAAATGCATGTTGGGACTAAAGGTGGACCCAAGATTGGGAAAGTGTGAAGACTTCAGGCATACAGTAGCTTGATAGGCCAACGGCCCAGCTCAGTATAACACAGCTTCCTGTGTTCATTACAGTGTCTGAAAGCAGCTACTAATGCTACCATATCCGCCTGTCCTTAAATCTGTCATATTTCAGTGTTAATGATTAACAAAATGTTACCACAGACAACCAAAGCAGGATTAAATAAAAAAGATCACTGTCCTTTTTCTCATTCTCTAATCACCCTCCTGCCTCCACCAGTAACATTTCAGCAAAACAATTTCTACTGTATTTATCTAAAGAATGTAATGATATGAGCTCCAGGAAAGAAAATGAACAATATCTAAAATACTGTAATGTATTTCTATTTCTATCTTAAAATGTATACCAGATCTAATTCAAACAGAACAAAACTAGTTCTGGAAAGTTATAGTCCACAAGTGTGAATAAGATACTATTAAAAGTGGGTTCCCTTTTACTATTTTGGTGCAAACTAATATCACGAAAGTTAGTGACATAACTTGCATACCTGAACTGCTCCTCCTATAACTGTGCTTTCTACAGACTACTCCCTAAATAAATGCTGTTCTGATGCTGGTACTGTTTGTTTGTTTAATTATTTAATCAGTTGCTTTTATTGTTCTATTTGATTTACTGTGTTTTAGGTAGTTTGCAATCTGCAATGAGATCACTACCTGAGGCAAGAGATGAGTTAGGAATACGAAAGATAAATAATGCAATACTTTTCTTTATTTCAGGACTTGCATGTGTTCCAGTCGGTGCTGAGGAATATTTGAGCACCTTTTAATAATACAGTGGTACCTCGGGTTACATACGCTTCAGGTTACAGACTCCGCTAACCGAGAAATAGTACCTCGGGTTAAGAACTTTGCTTCAGGATGAGAACAGAAATCATGTTCTGGTGGCGCGGTGGCAGCGTGAGGCCCCATTAGCTAAAGTGGTGCTTCAGGTTAAGAACAGTTTCAGGTTAAGAACGGACTTCCGGAATGAATTAAATACTTAACCCGAGGTACCACTGTATCTTGTATTTTCAACAGGCATTGCTTCTTTATTGCACTATGCTTTGGTGCAATTTAAGATCTCTTGGTGCAAACTCACTTAGGTTACAATCCTAAATGGGCAAGTTGCTTTAGGTTCTCTTCCTTAGTTTGCAAAGAGCCTTCTTCATCATCTGAAATTAACATATCACAGATGGATCTCCACCGTAACCTGTATCAGCAGCACCTTCTTGCTCACTTCCCCCACCCTCTTTTTTGTTGTTCTACAACCTGTCTAAAAAAAGTTTTGTGAAACTCAAAAGCTACTGCACTGTTTATGACTTTCAGCCCATCCTAAAATATTAAGTGGTTGTTGTGCATTGGATTTTTTCTTAATGGACCAACACAGCTAGCTGCATTTTTCATACTTGATTGTTGGTGTTTTATGACGTATGCCCAGTTATTCTCATTTTATAAATGTCCTTGCTGGCATAGTGTTACTTCCCCCTCTCTTTTTTATGGCTGAAAATAATAAAATTGATCTGAACAGGCAGCAGTGGGTAGAATTAGTTCCCATCACTGACTAGCTGATCCTTTTTTGAAATGCCAGGGATTAAATCTAAGACCTTCTGCACGCAAAGGATGTGCACTACCAGTGAGCCACACTCCCTTCCTAATGTATTGTCGAGTGATAAATGACAAGAAATTCATCCAGAGAGATATACACTGTCTATCTGAATTGGTGCTGCCCTTCTGTACAACTGTATTGCCTCAGTTTCCAAGAGGAGTCATTTACATATATTCTATTAGCCCATCCATTATCTGAAATGCCATAGCTCTCGTTATACTCTTCTATCTCGAAGAGTCAGTAGAAATGGCTCAGTTTTGGAATTTGCTCACATATTAAGCACATTAAACACTGGTGCTGCTGTTTAAGGTTAGCTATGAAACTTTCCAATTGCTGTTGTGGAGAAGATTAATTATCTGTGTCAACCCACCATAGTTTGCACTCCAGCCTTCTTCTCTTATGTATTTTATAGTCCTGGAATGTATTTTGAATTCTCTTACCTCGCTGGCAATAGTTGAATGAGGTTCTTTGTAGAGCCAGCCATCCGGGCGGCATGTTGTAAGTGACACATTGCTCAAGCTGTTGCTGGTAAGATGAGACAGTGGGTTGGTGCAGCTAGAAGAGGTGTTATACCACTCCATGTCATACCTCTTGCACTGGGAAGAATCATTCACCAGACTTGAAGCTCGAATGGTAACGTTGTACTCCTCTTCAAATGTCCAGCCACATTGCTTCCTTAATTTAGATGCATAAGGAACCCTGCACCAATATTGCTCTGGGTCGCGGCCAAGGAACACAACACCAACAAATAAGAAGGAAAAGGTTATACCAGTCTGGCAAAGAAGGAGGAAGACCCGCTTTTGAAACCTTCCAAATTCCCCAGCCTCTTTTAGAAACTCTTCAAAAGACGGCATTGTAGACAGTTCCTCCCCTCCCCCAAGTCAGATGAATCCAAGAGGTGACACAGCGTCAACAGCTCTCAAACTTTGTGGCTGTTGCCGGTGCTTCCTATAAATCATGTACACGCAATCTCTCTCTTCTTTCTCTGTCTTCCTCTCTGTCTCCCTCAGCTACACACACATGCAATCAAGTAGCAAAAGCAATGCCGGGGCAGAGCAAAGTTACACACACACACACACACACACACACACACACACACACGTTGTGCTGTCAGTTTGGCACAATGCTTACGCACAGAATTGTAGGATTTCACTATACACTTGGCACGCATGCTGCCCCAAAGAAGGGGGCGTATATATTTTTTCTGTCTACCCAAAGGAGAGATTATGTAATCAAAATGGTTAACTCTTTAGGGACATGCAAACAGCAGAATATAAAGCAGAACTGTGGTCGTTTCCCATAAAAATTAATCCAGATTTGTCATATTAAACAGAAATTATGGGAAAGGATCCACTTTGTTAAAATCCATTAAACTTCTCCCTCCCCAAAACACTTGGGTTCTTGCTACTGTAGTGGTCAATTAACTTATTTCAGTTAGTAATTGGAATAGATAACCACATAGGTTACTGCCAAGAGGTTATAATGTGGGTCCAGTGGTGTGAGGAGGAACCAGACACAGTGAATATCAGCTGCTGGCAGTTAGAAACAGTGGAAATGAAGAAAAATGAAAGAGAAAAGAGGTGAAGCGAAAAGGTAGCTAGAAGAGTCACCACTAAGAAGATGAGGAGCGATCATGGGCATCCACAAGACATTTTACTGAAGGGGCAAAGTAAATACTCCAAATGAATAAATAAACATGTGTAGTTGAAAAGTGAGAGCAGGCAAGTTTTTCACTTTAAAAAATGAGGAGAATGGTGCCTGCACTATTTGCCACATTGCTCAAAAATGAATGCTGGAAATATGGGAATTGTGGTTCATTTGGTGGCACAGGAGGCTGTTCCCCTCCCCACTGGGTACCCATGCAACCAAGCATGGAACAACAGAAACTTTAAGGGAACATTCAAGTCAGGCTGACTGACTGTCCTTTATAGATAGATAATTGGCAGTGTTGCCACAATAATCAAAAATGGTTTGGGGTGTGTGTGCTCTATCATGTTTTTGTTTTCTCATGTTTATGCTTCTTAATTAAAAGTTGTTCCTGTTTAACTAGAGCAGTGCACAAATTAACCACTCAAAATTGCTCAACCCTTTCTGTGGGCAGGAAAACTGTGGTGCGTGGGGGGCAGGGAATAGTTTAGTAAATTTGTCCAAGGGAAGGGGAGGAGAAAAGCCCCAACAATTCCTGGGGGGGTGGGGCTCACCAGTGGGAGCAGCAGAGCTACTTGTTTGGTTCCTCTAAAAGGTTTCAATTTTTGCTCGTGGCAGTGGCCACTACTGTGGTTGGAGGCCTGGCGGCCATTTTGCACCCTCCACAATGTCCCGAATTTAGCACGGTTCCAGGACATTAAAGGGGGTGGGAGTGGAGAGACACCACAAAAAATGGTGGAGAATATTTAGGCAAAGTTCTGCAATACTTCCTTTTTTTGAGAGGGAGACAGGGCTCTACTTGTCTTATAAAATGTATAACAAATCATGGCAAAGTCACCATGCACAGACCAGTGGTTTTCAACAAGTGTGCCGTGGAACCCTGGGCTGCCTGGAATGAAGGTCAGGGATGCCGTGGGCAACACTGGCCTCTGCCCCTCTTTCCTTCCCTCCCTCCTCTGATGCCCTCTCACATCTCTGCTTCCCAAAGTCTTGCACAGCTGTTTGTTGCAGCAGCTCTGGCTACAACTCCCCCTTTTTCATCCATGGGCTGGTCCACCATCCCTCAGACCATGGGGGGGGGTGGACTATATTTTTTGGGGGGGAAATGAACAAATTCCTATTCCCCACAAATAACCCAGAGATGCATTTTAAATAAAAGCACACATTCTACTCATGTAACAACACCAGGCAGGCCCCACAAATAACCCAGAGATGCATTTTAAATAAAAGCACACATTCTACTCATGTAAAAACATGCTGTGGGCTGGATTTTGAAGGCAAATGGGCCACATCCGGCCCCCGGGCCTTAGGTTGCCTACCCCGGCCCCAGGTGAATGGTGCCTCTAGGGCTGGCCAGAGGGTGCTTCCCAGGCCCCTGTGGAGCAGTGGGAGGAGGCACCTCTCTTTGGGGTGGGCTGCTCATAGACCAGAGGACTCCCAAGGAGAGGGGAGAAGAGAGGAGGCCGAGGGAACACTCCACAAGAGAGGGTGTTCGAAAAGGGGCGAGGGGCTGCCAACTCTGCAGGCAAGTGGTGACACAACTGGGTTCCTGAGCCCCACAGAGGTGCTGCAGAAAGAATGTAGTTGGTCAAGGGAGCCATGGACTGAAAAAGGTTGTAAAGGTTGCTTTTGCTTCTTTTACGTCATCACTTCAATTTTCTTCTTTCTTCTTCTGTCTTTTCATTTCTTTTCCAAAAGGTGGCAACACTGGATAGACTTAGATATATCCCACGCCTCGGGGTCAGCATAACAACTTGTAGATTAACCCTAAGACATGGGAAATGTCATTTTTCCATCAGCTGTATCCACAGGGTTCCCACCTTTTGAAAGCATAATGTTGTTATTTCCATGGATTTAAAGCTATTTTTAAACATTCCATTAGCTGATGTAAATACCAGCCATTACAGAATAGTAGTAATAACAAACTTGCTCTGTAAAAGGACAGGAATCCCTGGGCACATCTGTAAGCAGAAGGCTAAAATGGGAAAGACAGATAAAAGAGAGTTAGGGATTCAGTGTTAAACTGATGTTAGGGAAAAGAAAACTTCAATTAAACGCACAATAAAAGATCCCAAGAATGTTTTGTCTGATAATATTGTTGTCAAGTCATTACATTCCAATGTTTCCCATCTAATCTTCCTTTGCTTTTCTAAAAAAAGTGTGTGTTTTTAAAACAACCAAACACCACTGCAATGACAGCCCACACTGGCACCACAATTATGTTATGCTATTTTTAAAAAATGCTACAAATGAGACCTTGGTGGTGGGGACCACAGGAGAAAAACACGGAAAATACTGGAATGTCATGGTTTGGCAATCACGTTGTCTAGATCTTCTTTTGAAAACAAGCAAATTATGGCAATTCCAGAGAAAAGAACAAGCATGGAATTAAACCACTGTTTGACTACTACTTCAAATTCTCTGCCTGAAACAACCTTAAAATATTTCAGAAAGAAGAAAATCAGCAGGTACAAAATTGAAATATTGTTTGAAATACAATGAAGTAATAGTAGGGAAACTTAAACCAAACACCCTTTTTGTCCCCATATTTCCAAAAAAGTAATTTTAAAAATAAAGGCCACAGAAGACCCCAAGCCACCCCTCCTTATCCCCTTTGGAAAATAAGATTGAATAACCACGCAAAAAGAAAAGAGGTATGCTGCTGCAAATTTACCTGATATTATATTAAATATGAGAGAGACTTGACCTTATGCCTGGGAAACTGACATTGGCAGCACAATCCTACACATGTCTACTCAGAAATAAGAACCACTGAGTTCAGGAGGGTTAATCCTAAGTAAGTGGATATACAGTTGTAGCTCGACTGTCTTCTCTATCAGGGAACCTGGAACTGAGTTCATTGTAAGGCACAGCGATGCCAGAACCAGGAAACCAGGTGTGTGATACTTCCTCTCCCTGCTGGCTGCTCCCGATGGGTATTTGGCACTCATTAACGATGTTTCAGATCCTGCACAAGCATGCAAGTGGATCATTTTAAAGTGTACTAAGTACTGGTATTTGATCTACACAAAGCTGCATCTAATTTGTCAAGCAGACAGTGTTGGGGAGCTAAAACTGGTTAGATAGGCTACATTGTGGGGTAGCAGGTCACATCAAATAATACAGACTCTGAGAAGGAGTGTGTGTGTGTGTGTGTGTGTGTGTGTGTGTGTGAATAGAATAAGGATAAATGCTAAAATGCCATGTAGCTATACACTTGCACATTTTTATATTTTCTCCTGAACTAGTTCACCAGGCCACCGAGATCTTAATTTGAGGCTCTCCTCTTCGTGCACTTTCTGCATTATATTTGTTGATTTATTGAACTTACTTTCAAGAAATCGCAAAGCAATTTCCATATATAAAAACACATGCTTTTAATTATAAAAATCCAAATACTACTACTAATACAATTCATCACATTAAGAAATATAAGCAATAGACCTGTACACAATGTACTTAGGTAAAATAAAAAACAAAATGCACATAACAAAATATAGCGTATTTATTAGCAAACTACCACTCCAAAATATGAGAGCAAGCAGGAGGTCCAGAAGTCAACATTCCAAGGTAGGCAAGAGGTTCATAACTGAGCAAAAGCAATCAAGATTTCCTGACAAGTCATCATAGTCTCATACTCATTCAACAATCACATCACATCACTCCATTCACTCAATTATCACTTCAGAAAAAATGATCAGGCGAGATAAAGGCTATGTAAGGTGTGTGATGATGACTGGATCTACATTTTAACATCAGTTCGCATGTTTTAAAAAGAATACTATCTCCAGATGTTAATGAATTACAACTCCCATCAGCTCCAGAAAGCATAGTCAATGGACAGGGATGATTAGAGTTGCAGTTCTACACCATCTGAAGGCCAAAGATTTTGCATACCTGATGTAAAGGAGCAGGGTTGTGTACCAATCCCCAACATACCCAACTCAGGGGAGGGAACTTTAGCTCAAGAGTAACCAACCCGACGCCCTCCAGATGTTCTTGGATTCCAGCTCTTATCAGCACCAGCCAACCTAGTCAATGGTCAGTGACAATGGGAGCTTAAGCTCCAAAATATCAGGAGAACAATACCTTAGCTAACCCTGCTTCAAACCTTCATGTGTTGAGTGCAAAGATCTGAAGGGAGATTCTTAACTGTGCTCAGCTGAGCATGCTTAGGGGGTTTTCACATCATAACAGACCTTGCCAATCACAGGGGAGATTCTAAGCATGCTCAGCTGAACACATTTAGTAGAATCCTCCCTCAGACCTTCACACTAAACACTCCAAGGTCTAAAGCTGACATGTGTGGGCACACTGGGGCTGAATGGACTTAGAAGTCTCTTTCAGACCTTCATGTTCAGCACACAAAGGTCTGAAGTGGAGCCAACATACGAGGGGGTGTTGGGGTTGATGCTTTCTTGCCCTGTGTCACTTTAAGCCCTGGTGCGTTCCATATAATGCATG